CTGGGGGGGTTGGTGGCTGGGGAGGGATCAACGCGGGGGGGTTGGCGGTGGGAGAGGAGGCCATGGTCGGCGGAGGAGGATGGGGGGCGAGCTAAGCCGCAGCCGCGGCGGCGGCGGCGGTGGCGGTGGAGTCGCTGCTAGCGTCGCGGGAGCTAGGTTGAGGGGGTGACAACATGATAGATTGATCCACCGCTAAAAGTGCCATTGAGGTGGATGTTGGTTTCAGTTTTCTGAAACACTCACCGCGCCAGAAAAAAATTGTGTTGCTGCCCGATGGGCCAAGAGCTGGAAACATTGATCGTCTCTACAGACACACATGTGCACACACGATGCATGGATACCGTGCTGAACATGACGCTGACGAATGCCTGTCTGGTATGCAGCGCTGCTGGTTGCTTAGCATGCATGAACTCAGCCACAGTGTGCGTACATGGCTACATTTTGCACTTAGTCAATTTACCTGCTCCTGTTCCTCCAAGTTCATTCAGGTTCACGGAGAACTCACCAACAGTCGCCACTAGGGCTCTCATACGGTGGGCTGGCGGCGGCGACCGACATGGCCGGCCGATTCATTTTTTTCCCGCTCGGCCCCCGCATCGCCTACCCTAGGCAACACGGGCGGCACCTTGCCGCCCTAGAAGTTCGAGATCGTGCCCGACCGTTTTGGAGTCTGTTCAGGAGCTCCTTCAGCGCCCGGGGATTGACGTCGAACTGGAGTCGGCTCAACATGAAATCAAGCATGGTGCGATAGTCTTCTTCACGGAGCTTCTCTTCGTTCTTCAGACTAATATCACACAATGTGTCCAGAATTTGGGCGTGACAGGCGCGGCCCTTCCACTTCTGCCTTTGCCCTTTGTACTTCTTCCCGCAATTGAGATCCCTGTTAAGGAAGAATATCTCGCTCGTGCTTTTTTTGCGAGGAAATCGATCTAGTTTTTCCAGCGATGAGTGATTGAGTAAGGTCTAATTCAATCTGTGTTATGACCTACCTACTCAACTTCCATTCTCATGACCCAACTTATTCAATCCTCAGCCAAAATGTAACATAACATCACTTATAAGTAAGAAATTATGAAACGAATGGAATCGAAACATGGAACCGGAGCTGCAACCGAGCTATATGCAACCTTAATGAACTGAGACCACTCTCAGAACGACCCTTCGGAAAGCCCCACAACAAGCTATCCCAGAAGAAATTGTATAACTTGGCCAAAGTATTCACTTCCAGTTCCCTTTGCAATAAAATCACAATAGATACTCTTTAGAAGGCTCATTCTCTCGTCTACAAACGGACATAATAGCTGCTTAGTGACTAGGAGCGGAGCGCCCCTTTCCTGTTCTTGGTGGCGTCTATAGCGAAGAAGACCTTCCCGAACGAGGGCCGTCCAGTCCCTGGCCGGGGCGATCCAATTACCCGGAGAAGTTCTCTTTGTCTTCAAGCTTTTATTCCTCAATCCACTTATTCGTTCCCTTCTTTCATATACCTCCCCACCAATAGATAGGCCTCGATATGGCCTTATGCATCGTTCTGATGCAGAGGCCTCGATTCCTTTCAAAAAGATGAAGGGACAGAGGTGACTAATTCCCCATCTCATTTGGGGCGGAAAACGAATCGACATCTCGATGTGAGCCCCCAACCGCACCACCGCCGCCCCGCCCCCTTCTCCAGCTAATCCCCTCGCGGCCGTCGGAGGCCACCACCAAGCGAAGCCCGCGTCGTGGCGGCGGCGGCGGGGCCTTCCCCCCGTGGCGCGGCTCTCCTCTCCTCCCGCGGGGCCTCGCGGCTGGCGGCCCGCCTGCGGGTGGCTCGTCGGCGCCCTACCCGACGGCCGGCGACGCTCCTCCTGGTGGCGGATCCGGTGATCCCTCCTCCCCGCGCCTCCTGGTTGGCCGTCCCGGCGGCGCCCCTCCGGCGTCAGATCTAGCGCCGCCGCCGCAGTCCCTCCCCGCCGTCGTCACCAGCGGTGCCCTGGCGCGGCGCGTCCCTCCTCCCCCACCCTCCCCTACGCACCACCTCGCCCGGCCACCCGACCCCCCTATCCTTGGATGTCCGGCGTCCTCCCGGCGGCAGGACCTTGTCCCGACCATGCCTCCTCTCTAGTTGGCCGAGGTGGGGCTGATTCCCCTGGCCTCCGGCTGCCCGTCGTCTTCCCGGCGGCGGAGCCTCGTCGAAGGCTCCCAGCCATGCATCTCCCTTGTGCTGGTTGTGGTGTGCCGTGAGCGGTGGATCGAGCCCCGTGGTGGTTGTGTGTGGCGGTGTGTCCAGCAGTGCCCAATGTCATCTTCCCGGTGATTGGCGCGGCTCTCCTTCCGGTGGTTGTGGTCACAGCCTGCTTTGGTTTTCCTTGTCTCTGAATCTTGATCCACCAACCTTTGGGATTGTGCGGAATTTGGCCGGACGAAAGCCTTGCTCGGCTTGCCGATGCTGGTGGCAGTGACACCTGCGGGTGTCGTTTCCTTCTTGGAGGTGCCACCATGGCCTCTTCTCTGCGCCCCTACGCGAGTATCAGGGGAAACCCTAGATCTAGTCTGCTAGATCGGACAACGACGGCGGCTTGGCATTGTATCCTTCATGAAGGAACTATCTTGTTGCTTGTGGTGTGTTCGGTGTTGGATTTGAAGACTTCAGACGCTTTGCCGGTCCAGGCTGCTCCTCTTGGCGTGGGCATCCAGGGCGCTATGTATGGCCTCGACGACGCTCTCTCCGTAGCTTCTCCTCCTAGTTCGGCCAGATCCTGCACCCCACTTGCCGATCCTCTAGGCACTTAGGTGGGAGGTACGTTGATTTGGTTCGTCCTGGAGGTGTGGCCGTGCGGTGATGGTGCCCGACGTTGGTCGCGACGCGGCCCAGATACCTTTGTATCTCGTCTCTTTGCCGCAGGCTGGAGTTTGAGCTAGGAGAGTCTATGTTGTGTTGTATCCCTTCTTGTGTCTTTCCCACACCTTGTGTGGTGTTTCTCTCTTTTCCTCTTGTATGTCTATGTAATTTCTCTTCTACCTATCAATGAATGATATGCAAGCTTTGCGTATTCACGAAAAAATCATGGATCACATACTGGTTCTATCCACTAGCAGCTCGCGGTGGCAACGTGACTGACGACAGGCTACCATCGCTTGTCGCAAAGGCCGCTTGATTGGCGTGATACTCACATTTTTTTTAGAAAAGGAGGACATTTTAAACTAGTATTTCTCTTGATCCCAGTATAGTGGTACGTACCCAGTCGATTCAGGCACTCAGATCAACTTTGAAGGCCAACAATCAACATCATACAAGAACTACTCGAAGCAGAAAATGTTTCAGATTGTTTGGTGCAACATAAATTTCTCAAATGATATTATTTACAATAAGCATCACCATTTTAGATATTCCTGTTGCACCCAAAAAAAAACAGTTAATAGAGATAGTAGTACTTGTGTGATGTTGTCCTGCAGCTTCAAGTCCAAATCTTGTATTGTTTGGGAGAAATGAAAAAGTGGGGTTTTTTTACACACAGAGCTTCGATGCAAAATTGGACGGTCGAGATAGAGGGGTGCACCTACATGGTGGCTCAACTACAAGTCTCTCTTTCTTATACCATTATAAAATAGAGCTCCTTGTAATACATATTACCGAAGATGCAACTCGAGATCTCTAAGCTTTGAAGGCAGAGGCGTTTGTGTTGTACTAGTGATTTAGTACACAAAACATACTTTGGCATGCATGGCAAACTTTGCAAAAGTATATTTCAGACATGCAGTTACCATTTACATTGTTAGCGTCTCAATGTAGTCCATGACCTGTTTTCTGATGTGCGTTCATCAATATAACATTGGTACTTCGGTAAACAAGATT